CGCCCCCCATCTCCCCCAAGAGCTTTTTCATCTTCCTGAAGCGTGAATGATGGAGCAGGCTGGGGGGCGCCTGGGGTCAGGCAAGGTCACCCACCGCAAAGCTCCCCCACTTTTAGAATCCCAGGCTGGTTTGGGTTGGAAGGGACTTCAAAGGTCATCTTGATCCACCTCCCGCCATGAGCAGGGACATCTTCCACTATGCCAGGTTGTTTCAAGCCCTGTCCAACCTGGCCTTAGACACTTTCAGGGATGGAACAGCTGCAGCTTCTCTGGACAACCTGTGCCAGGGTCTCACCACTCTCACAGGGAGGAATTTCTTCCCGATATCCAATCTAACCCTGCCCTCTGGCAGGTGAAAACCCTCACCCTCTATTCTATCCCCTAACAAAGACCCTCCCCAGCTCTCCTAGAGGCCCCTTTCTATCTTATATTTTATATCTCTATTAGATTTATACCTACATATGGATCAGCCCAAGAAGTGGCTCAGACAATCCATGACTAGTGGAGCCACCTGGGGTAGCCCTTTGCAGGGTGCATGGGAGTGCTGGGGATTTGGGCAGACCTATGGGTTATTCCAAAGGGCCTCAGGAGGTTTTAGAGGGAGGTTTGGAGGGTCCTGAGGATTTATAAGGTGTTCAGGGGAGCGGGGGGCTAGGGAACTTTTTGAGGGGACTCTAAGGGTCTTTGGGATTTAATGGGGAGGCTGTAGGGAATGGAGAGGGTCTCTAGGGTTTGGTTTTTTTTTTGGGGGGGGATGGGATGGGTATAGGAGTGTATATCCTAGGTCCCCAAAGTTGTCTCAACCTTTTCTTTACCTGGCAGGATTTGATCTCCACCTCTAAGGGAAGCTCATGTAATAAATGGAATTGATTTGTGCTAACTAAATTGTAACTATTTGGAAAGTTATTATTAGAAGCAACCAAAAGAATCAGTGTTACTAGGCAGATGCACCCCTTTACAGATATTACACGTTAAAATCGAGGTACAGGACGTAGTCTGGAAGGTAAGTGATGTCCCAAAATGAAAATGGCCCTGAGATGGACTAAATTAGAACGACTTTAGGCATTGGGCCTAAAAATCAGTAAATATCAGACTAATTAGTAGACTGATATAACACAACACTTAGTACGCACGCACAAACCTGAAAGGTTATCCAAAGGACAATAAGGAAGAGGAGAAGCCTTCGCCAAAAGACCACCAAAAGAAGACTGAAGACCGCCTAACAACAAGTGGAGCATGTGCCGTGAAGAATAGTGACATAAAATCAGAAAAATCAGAAATAGGAGGAAACTTATGGCAAACATTAATGAGTATGTATAAGCATACAGTATATAAGTTTAGTTTGAAATGCTTTGTTTTGTATGTGAGGCAGGGTGAGAAGCCCCTTCATACCCCAATCTGTTTTGTACGTGAGCTGGGGCAACAAGCCCTCCCCGCACCCCAGTTGGTTTTGCTTATGCTTTAATCATACTTAATTACTAGCAAATTATATATATAAATTGTAATTTTTACTAAATTGTATTCTTTTACTAAACTGTATTATTCTTTTATACCAAATTACTATTCAATTTACTAAATTGTATTAATTTTTAATTAAACTGTTATTAACTCAAGGGACCTAATTGTCGAAATTCTAATTTCATTTATAACACTCACCACACAGACTCTGTTCCCGATCCCCAAGAAATTTTTGATGTGCACAACATGCAGGAGTATTTTTCCTGCAATTTCCCTGGCTCTAAGAGGGACCATGGAGCAGCACGAAGTGGGGCGGGGGCTTCTCCATCCCCCACATCGGCAATTGCAGTTTTGATTCAAGTTTTAATTAAAGGCTGAACTGTTGCTGATACTGCAGTACGGTCGGGGTCTTTCCCTACGTCGTCGTCATCACGCCAATTCCCAGCAGACACTTGAGGGGCGCTTAGGAGGCAGTTGGGGGATGCTAGCGGGATCACTGAAGGGTCTGGAGGGGCACTTAGGGGTCGGGGAGGCAGCTGGGAGAGCACTTGGGGGTGTGAGGGGACACACAGCGGGCGCTTTGGGGCCACGTAGGGCGGGCGGATTGAGGGATCCTGAGAGGCACTTGAGGGTCAGGAGAGGGAAAGTGGGGGTACTTAAGGGGTCCCAGGGTGCACTTACGGTTCAGGCAAGCACTCGCGGAGCAGCTGGGACGGTACTTGGGGGACAGTAGCGGCTCTGACGGGCTCTCAGGGACCACGGGGCATGACGGGAAACGCAGTCCCGGCGCTAAAGGCGTTCCATGGGGCCCCGCGGTACTTCGGGAGTTGTAGTCCAGGAAGTGAGTAAACCGGCACGGAACCGGCGGCCAATGGACGGCGGGAAGGCACGAGGGACTTGGGGGCGACTCAGGGCGGCTTCTCACGTCCCCACCATGGCCCCCCCACCGCGCTCTCAGAAGCGAGGGCACACCAGAAACCCCCGGCTGCGAAGGTGAAGATGACAGGCGAGCCCCCTCCCCCGCCTCGGTTTGGGGGTTTCCCGTCCCGGTACGCCAAGTAACCCCCCCAGGCGCCCCGATAGACTTCCTTGTCCCACTGTGATAAACGGGCCAGGAGACCAGCTCCTTTTAAAAAGGCCTTTATTAAGCAGCACAGCTCTGGGGTGGGGGCCCGAGGGGTTGCGC